ACAGCCAGCCTCAAACTGCTGTCACGATTGCGTTCCTTCCCCACAGTGCATCCAGGACTTGATATTGGTAAATGACTGGCAGATGAACAGAGACTCAGTGTGCTTCCCAAGCCGCTGAACAACCTGTTACTTTTAATTTTTAAAATGTTTACAGGCTCATCTGACAGCTGCAGTACACAGCAGCAAGGTGGCTGCAGCCACCCACTGCCGCCCCATGCGCCGTGGGGCGCAGCGAAGCATCGGCGCTGCCTGCTCCAGGCTGAGCACTGTGCTGCGGGCAGAAATGAAACTTGGCTGGGGGCTGTGCACTGGCTGCTAATGCACAAAGATAGCAAACGTGCAGATAGGGCTGGCAGCAAAATGCACGGACTTCTTATTCATGAGTTAGTGTTGGAAAAGGACACTGTTGCTCAAGGATCATATGAGCTTCCCTATCCAGCAGTCTCACTCACACTCTAATACAAAATTAGGCAACGTCCCAGGGATGGGAATGCATTTCCCTTGAGGAAAATAAAAGGATTTAAAGGGCTCCAGCACTGCACTGGGGCATCCGAGCGTGTTTGCAATATTCAAAGTTGCCAAAGTACCAAGATGAAAAGCAGCTTGGAACTGAATGGAATTTGAAGTGAAAATAGAGAGACGTTCCTGGAGATGTCTGATGGGTCACAAAGGGCAGGTTCTATTGCGAAGGGCTGGAGGAGGCCTCCTAAAGTACAGTTCCTCTTCTACACTTTTTTCCTTCTTTCCTCTAAGAAAGGAGAAGCAGGGGGCTCCAGATGTGTGGCTGTACTTGAGCAATGATGTAAGCATTTCTTTTGTAGTTGAAGATGTGCCTCACAAAATTACACAATTTTACGCATAAGTTAGGCTTGCACCATGACAGAAAAAAAAACTCTGTTGAATTGCTCAATTTGCTGAGAATGCACTCAGGCTGACATGTGGCACAGAGAAGTTTAAGAAGATAGGACAAAGTTAAGGGTTTGGGTTTTTTTGTCAGTACATGAATGTCATTTCTACCTCAAGTTGGTGGATTTTCCTTCCCTCTGGGATGGAAGGAGACAAACCAAAATCAAACATCCTGCCCTGAAGCCCAAGGCCCCGTGTCCATTTTTTCTGTTTTTATTGATTTTTTGTAATCTGACAGTTCCCTCAAACGAAGGGTGATTCAGAGACAAGTTCCCTCTTAGCTAACCACCAAACTTCAGTGGCTTGGATAAAAGGGAACCCCGGACTGAGTCAGCTGAGGTCAGCATTTGTTTGGCAAAATCCAAGTTGTGCCTACGAGATTTTCTAAATGTCAAAAAACCCTCTGTGTGTCAGAGAAGTTGTCACATCTCGTCTTCTCCTTCCACAAAAGGAGTTGGGTGTATGCTACATTATATTTTTACTGATTAAGTTTAATGTGGTAGTCATTAAACTGTGAGATGTCAGTTTGCTTTGTATTTTGTTTCTTCTTTTTTTTTTTTTCTCCTTCTCAGAAATCTGCCTGCAAAGCGGCAGCAGCTATTTTTTCCCATAATTGCATCTGTTTCAGAGAGCAGACAGATGTTGGGCTGAAATTCATTATGGTATTCATAAAACCCATTGGGATCTGATGACCCAGTAACATATAGCTACCGTTCCTTGCAAAGCAGTTACAGCAGTTGCCACTTGACTGAAGAGAGAACTTTGCAGATGAAAGGAGGGAATAACCCCTGGCTCAGCAGACGGCAGCAGTGTAAAATGTATGAGTTCAGTTTATTTCCATAAATCATCATGTTCTTAATGTTGCAAATCTGCAAGCCAGGCTGCATGCACTGGTGTTGCCATAGCGTGCAGATCTGTGTTAGTGTTCAGGCATATAGTCGAGGTGAAATACCCAGTGGAGAAGGAAAGAAAACAGGAGCAGAAAAACCTCTAATGGAGAGGCAGCGCAGTAGAAATAGCTCTTACACAAGGACATGGCCATAGGTGTGATCTGTGTGTTACGACACCGAGTCAGGGATTCAGTTGGCTCTGAAACGGAAAATTCAAAAGCCAAAAATGCAGAATGTCGCCATTCCCAAAGCTCCAGCTCTCCTAGCTGGAGGGGTTGGTGCTGCCAGAGTGACAGGGACGTGTGCTCGCCTATAAAAACCAGCACTGCCTGCAGGAGCACTGCTGCCCTGGAACTGCTGAGGTTGGACAGTGCTGTGGGCTGCGCTGCCAGCAGGGAAAAGCTGGAGAAGGGGCTCCTGATGTGTGGGGTGTGCTGCCAGCAGGCCTCTGCTTGCCACTAGAAAGGATGTGAATTTCTGCAGGAGTCCCAGTGAGTGGCGTTTGGGTTCTGTGGGAGTGTGGTGGGTGTCCTGGCCGCAGGCCAACAGCGAGAGGCAATCTTTCCACCTCGCCCCATCCATTCAGGAATCACCGGGGAAGGAAGCTGCTTGGTCTCCTTTTGGATATCCTGTGTGGCTAAACTAGTGCGGCTGCCAGGAACTGACAACGCTGTTTAATTTTTAAAGGGCTGCAAACTACTGCATGTGCTGCCGCGTGGGAAGTGGCTGCTCGGTTTGTCTGGGTTTCTGCATTGCTGGCTCCCCAGCAGCAGTGGCCCTGTCCCTCAGTCCTAGCGCAGCAACTTGCAAAGCACAGGGCTGAGGGCAGAGCCAGTTTTGCATGAGCTGGCCACGTTTGGAAAGAAGAGGAATTTTCTTTAGTTCAAACAGGAGAAAGCATGAGCCTCATCTAAAAATCCAACAGCCATCAGAGCCATCAGAGCCTGATCCAAAAATCCATTGCAAACAAAGACATCTTGCTGTGGTTTCAAAGCAGGGCTGGGTCCTGGAAAGCGCAAAGCTACAAAGTGGGCTGGGCAGGAGGAACATTTACTTCAACGCCCTTTAAACAGAGACATAAGCAAGCGGGTGCCCCCAGCATGAAGCTCAGACCTTCCCCAGCCATCTCAGGGATGTGGTGCAGCTTGGCTGAGCCATGAAGGTGTTTTCCAAGGCACGACGCAGTGAGGCTCCACACACAGTGCAGACACAGCGCTCAGATACCACATAGCCAGTCCCAGGCTGTGCACCACCCTGTACTGGTTTTGATGTGTAGTCTTGCTCCTGACCTCCTTCCACAGCCAGCCATGGCAAGAAATCACACAACAAATGAAATGGAAGGGATTGGTTTCTAAATTAGTGGCTGGTCTACTGAATCAGGATTTCTGTCAGCAGAGATGTTGTACTCCAGTTCACAGAGGCTGTTAGTACCAATAAATCCATTCCAGAATGATGCTGTAGATCACCATGAATGCAGAGGGCAGGCAGGAGCCCTGCAGGTGGGGGGATGTGGAGCTCCTGTGGTCAGCACTGGGCAACTTGGGGGCTACCAAGGGAGGGCAGAGCAGTCTGTGAGAGTGTGAGATGGGAAAGCATTGGCCTTCCTTCCTAAGCAATGCACAGAGCTCCTGGGAAAGAAGGAAGTGCAGTCCAGACGTTCTGTGTGCTTTGGAATCACTTTAGCACCTCTCAGCTAAGGGCTATGCTCTGAAGATATGTCCAAAATCTCCAGGTTATACAGAAGAAGTTGCAGGGAATTTTGTGAAGGATCTGTGCTCTGAAAGGAAGGTGCTGATCCCTGACCCCTAGAGCCTGCAGCACCTCTGGCACGGGCAGGATGTGATTTCTCCTCAGGAAGTCAGAGAGCTTCCAGCAAAGCTGGAAGGGAAGTGCTTGGTGCTGGGGCCTGCAGGGATCCCATTCTGCCTGGGCTTGGGGAGTGCAGGCATGGGGCTTGGAGCAGGGTTTGTCCCCAGCTGAGTGCTGGGATTCCCAGCCTCCCAGTGCAGAGCTGTGGGTTGTAGCCAGGGAGCAGCCCTGGTGTCCAGCTCTGCTGAATAACTGTTACTCTGAATTTTCAGAGCAGTTCAGAGGACTGAGAAATGCTGAAAGGAGTCAGTTTGCCCAATGCAGGCTAAAACTAACGTTCAAGAAGCTGTTTACTTCCTGCAGACAGGAAATCCTGCTCCGTTAGGGGTTATCTATTTTTTCCTTTTCCTGCCAACCTCACACCTGTAGCGAGGGCACAAACAACACCAGAGGAAGCAGGCAGCATGCTGGCTGAGCTTCTGTAGTCTGCAGCGGGCTGGGGAGCCTCTGCAGCCCTGGGCACAGAGTTTCCTTGGGGGAAGTAAAGGAAGCTCAGTCTTCATGTACTGCACTTCCCTTTCCACGCCAGACACCCGCTGCATGCAGGGCCGTGTCTGCACAGCAGTGACCCTTAGCTTGAGTTTTACTTTGCAAGCACTGCTTTTTCCCTCTTCTACCCTGCTATTGCTCCGATTTCTCTATTATTCATTTAGCATTTTTAAGTTTTGCTCGTTGCCCTTCTTTACGCTGTCTTGCTGTCCCGGGGGGGCTGAGCCATGGGGCTCTTGGACATTGCCAGCGGCTTCTCAGGCCCCCGGGATGGGATCCAGGCGTGACTATTCCATATCGAGATGTATCCAATTTTAATGAAAAGTCAGAACTGCTGCCGGAGTGCCGTGGCTGCAGGGCCCGGCGGCGCGGTGGGGCGGCCGCCTCCCGCACGGCGAACTGCGGGACGCGTGGCGCAAAGCCCTGCCTGAGGGGCAGCGCGCACCTGGGCCCGCGGGCGGCGGGGTGCCGGGGCTGCCGTACAGCCGCGCTCCGAGGGGAGGGAGGCACGGCCGGACCCCGAGCGCGCTTCGCCTCGCCTCGCCTCTCCCCGGCACAGGGCGTGGGGCGGCGCGTGCGCACCCCCCTCGGGGCGGGGGCCGCTCGTGGCGTGCAGGTGGCCCCCGGCGCGGCACGCCGAGCCGCGTCACTTCCTCGCAAAGTTGGCCCGAGGAAATGTCTCCGCGAAAGTTGCCCGCGGCCGTCCGGCCCCGGGGCTGCCTCCCGGCCCGCTGAGCGGGGAGGGCGTTCCGGCTCGGGCATGCCCGCCTCCCTGCGCTCGCCGGAGCACGGCCGGGCCGCCGCGGGCCGCCCGCGGGGCGCGGGTTGAGGCGAGGCGGGCGGACCGGAGCGGACCGTTAGCCGCGGCGCGCCATGGAGCGGCAGTGCGCCGCCCGCAGCCTGGACGGCATCGACCTGGCCGCGCTGCGGGTAAGGGCGGCGGGGCGGGGCGGCGAGCGGGACGTGAGGGGTGCCGGAGAAAATAGCGCCGGGAGGGAGGTCATGGAGCTAACGAGTCAGCCCGCGACCGCTTTACTCTGTTTTTCTCATTGTGATCGTGCGCTTCTCGTTGTCTTTTCATGTCGCCCGAAGTCTGCCCGCGTTGGCAGCCGCCCCGGCGGTGTGTGACGGCCCCGCGCTGCTCCGGGCACCGCGCGGGGAAGCGTTGGGTTGGGACGGAACGCGGCCGGAGGGAGCGCAGAGAGCTGCTGGCTAAAAATATCGAAGAAAGAGGGTTGGGAAAAGGCTTTGCACAAAATCACATGGTAGGGAGAGTGCTCTAGAGAGGAGGCAGAGGGAGAAAGGCAGCAGCAGGGTCGGGAGCGGCCGCGGGGTTGGCACGGAGCTGCCGGCTGGGAGTAGGGCTTTAGCCCAGCTGTGCTCGGAGCAGCGCGAGTCTCTGAGCATAGCAGCTGAATCTGATCTCCTTTAGTAAGCGATAAGAAAGCAGTTTAAGCTCGCAATGTCCTGCAGGTAGCCTGCAGGCTTCGTGTAAAGCCCTGCACGAGGAGAAGCCTCACTGAGGCTGTGCAGTGTGGGCCTGGTCCTCAGCAGAAGGGGCAAAGGTCTGGGGGGGGGATCTGTGCTGGACTGTGCTCAGTGCACAGGGGGGCCAGGCCCACGCACACCAAGCAGGGATGGCCGCTTCCTTTCCACTCACCCTTGGTTCCTGGGGGAGTCTGGCCAGCTGCAGCCAGGCCATTCTCCAGCACCAGCTAGCCCTGCCCCAGAGTTGCTTGCTGTGTCCTGTCCCTGTTCCTGGACCAAGGCGCTTTGGGTTGCAGTTGCAGATGCTGAAGGAGCATCCTGGTGCAGCCCTGCCCTGCTGTGACAGTGGCAATTGCAGACTTTCCAGGTGTGGGTTCACTGGGGCAGTCAGGTGGTTAAAAAACTGCTGATGGCAGAGGTGCCCAGCACAGAAACCTGGGCTTCAGGCACCTGTCATTACCTGCAAGGTAGTGCATTTGGGCAGGCTCCTGCTGCGCACGTGGGCTTTCGTTCTACCTTGCAGTGGAAGTGGATATGGCTGTGTTGCCTCTGTGCCAGCAGTTGCGTTGCTGCCTTTGGAGCACTCTGCCATGAACTTGCAGGAAGGCAAGAAGCTCACCATATGGTGCTGTGCCTTACAGTAATTAACCTCAGAGTGATGGATGTCCAGGCCAAGGTGTTGGCATCTGTCAAAGTGAAGCTGGTGACGTGCAGGGGCTGGCTGGGAAGGGTTAGGTGGATCAAGGGTCCCAGATTCTAGCTGTGAGGAAGCACTGCAGCAGCGATGGTGCTGGCTCCCAGGTAATTAGGAAGCTAGCTGGTTGTGGGGGCTCTGCCAGCAGAGGATGCTATGCTGATGGCCAAGCAAACAAGGACAATCCAAGGACCAAAGTGAGAGCCCAAATTAATATCTTTTATGATTCTTAGGCTCAGTTCACTCCTGCATCTTCATTAAAAAGGAAATGGCCAAGTATTTTGGCTGTGCACAGAGCTGCGGAGGCTAACAGCTTTAGTGCTCCATTGGCCTGCGAGGATGGGGAGGATTTCAGCTATATTCAAGTTAATGCTGTCATTTATTTTAGGTAATTGTTTGGGTTTTTCCTGGAGTGTCTGAAGGCTCCTGAAATGAGCTACTAGGATGCTAAATCAGAATGAAATTGAGTGGAGGGAGAGTGGGAAGCTGATTCTGAGGCACGTGAAATGATTGTATTTGCATAATAAACAAATGCAGAGGAGAAGCGTCAGGGCAGGGCAGTCAGTTAAATGAGAGGGGTGGTAACGTCCTTTGAGTTGAAAAATGCACTGTAGCTCCTTCCAGGCTTTGTGTCCCATGCATGCACTGCAATTCAGCAGCACTGCTTTCTGCAGGAGAGGGACAGGAGCAGAGAGCAAGCTTCCCAGGGGAGAGGTGTGAGCAGCGGGATGTCGTGCACAGGGATGTCATGCACCAGGACGCCCTGGTACAAAAAAATGTTTTGTGAAGTTGACAGTCATGGGTTCCCCGGCTTGTGGAAGTCCCTGTTGTGCTGCCCTGGCAGTGGAAGCTGCTGCCATTTATCATGATAGTCGTGCCAGGGGGGGCAGATTCTGCTCAGAAAAACGCCCACGTATTTCCTCTGGGATATTCTGTAAGTAAAAATTTCCACGTGAGATATGACGAAGGCAATATTTATATTAAAAGAATGACATGTAAGTGGAGTGGAGAAGTAGCTTGCTGCAATTAAAAAAAAAAAGTTTTCATGTAGTGTCACAAAAATTGAAGTAAAGGTTGTTTTTTTTGTATCGCATCCCTCAGCGGTACTGATATGCGTTGACTGGCATGACAGATTGCTGAAACAGATGTGGTAAAACTGACACATGGAACTAATAATACTTTATATACATCTCGCAATGAAATCGTCCCAAGAAATGAGCAGGACTGATAAAATGGCTCAGAAACCAGGAAACTGGTTTCTTAATGTTTTTATATAGATCTCAAGTGAGTTTCAGCTGAAGGTACAGATTTATTACTGTGCTCACTCATGCAGGAGCAAACAGTTCCTTGCCCGTGCCTTGCAATGGGATGTTCCTCCTCCATCTGCAAAGCTGTGGGATCTCATAACCAGCTGGTGTTGGGGTAACTGGTGCTAAACCAGCAGGACGTGCACTGGCTCATGTGGCACACTGACTGCTGGCACGTGGATCTTTCATGAAAACAAACAGCAATCTGGTTTGAGTTCAAAACCAAGAGTTCAGTACATTGCTCAACTTCACCGTGTTATGTTTGCAGAACAGCCAGCTGAGCATTTTCAGCCTGTGTGGTGTTGCTGTGTTGCTTGGGATGCTCCATCTCCTTTCTGAAAGGCAGTCAGGCCTGAGCTTTGTGTAGCACCTTTCTATTCCGTTACAGAGGTTCTTTCCATCGTTGCCTTGCTGATGCCAAGCATTTCATAGCAGAGGACAGCAGCTCAGCCTCCAGACTAGCTTTGTGTTTTGAAGCTTGCTCTACTGCTAACCTGAATCAATTGAATGCTCGTATTCCTCCTGCATTCCCATTTGTTTGTTCCATCTGCTCTATTGCCGTGCTTTGAATCTTCTGAGTTATCTCGAGCAATCTGACTGGAAACTTTGATAGAAATGTATTTCTTGAACCCTTACTTACCAGTTACTTCCCTATTTAGTGTATAATACACACCATTAAGAGACATGCCACAGACATTTTCATTTTGATTGTGAATAGTTGCACTCCATTACGATGTGTTTGCTTTGCTGCAAGTGATGTTCTTTTCTTTCTGCTTTTTGCAGGACCCTGCGGGAATATTTGAACTGGTGCAGGTTGTTGGCAATGGGACGTATGGACAAGTCTATAAGGTTTGGGCTTCTCTTTATTTTATGATGGCGATCTCTATAAAGCCGTGTTTCCTAAAGCAGAAATGAGCTCTGCTGGGAGCTGTGTTGTCCCGTTAGCAGCCTGGTTTGTCTGTCGGTCTCCATCAGCTGTGCCCTTCCTCCCGGCCTGCCTTCAGTCCTGCCGCAGATCATTTGGCTGCTGGCTCTGCTACTCCCTTTGCCCTTCTTCTGTCCTGTGGTTATTTTTTTCTTCTTCACAACTGTTTGACAGGCACAACTGAAATTGGCGATGGCTGAACTTGGCCTGGGGTGTGTGAGAGCCCTGCACACGCTGCTGCAGCACTGCTCTCCAGCACAGAGGTGTGAAGTAGCCAGGCTGCCAGGTGTTTGCTTTGTGTTACCTTTGTCATGTTGGTGCCAAAGCAGGCCTACTGGCCACGAAACTGCAGCAATTAAACCTTGTCTGCCATAATATGTTACATGCTCTGTGCATGCTTTGAGGTGTAAGAACTTGCCTGAAGGAAGCGTTCAAGACAATCTAAGGGATAAAATAGTGCACTGGGTCTGTGTTGCTCTGATTTGGAGAAATAAGACAGGAAGGAAGGAAAGGGCCATGCTGCTGGATCGGGGTGGCGGCAGGAGGGAAGAGCAGCGGCACGGGAGGAAGCTGTCTGGTGCTGTTTTCCCTCGAGTCCTGCTGCTCCAGACTGCTGTGCCGTGAGCCTCAGCATTGGGCAGGCTGCTCCAGCACCGGGCCCCCAGCACATGGCCACACATTGCATCTCAGAGTCCATCTCCTGGCTGCAATCTGCTGTGATCACCTTTCGGTTCCCACGTGAAAGTATAGACACTTTCTAAAAAGACCTGAAAGACCTTCTGGGGAAGTTTCTGCCTTCCCATATATGTTTTTATTCTATTTTTCTGTCAGAAAACAGAATTTTTCTTGTGTAACTGTTTGTCTGCATCATTTGTGAGATTATCATTCAGATACTGAACATTATGACATTAAAGATGGAAACTTGGGGGGTTTGTATAGTTTGTGTGAAGCCAGGAGGCATGTAGGGATGCTGTGTTGGTGGAACCATTGACACCTGTTCTTGTAAAAGGTCTGAAAACTCCCAAGTGGCCTCTGAAAGAGGCCTTTATGTCTTTGCCTAGATTTATTTTATACTAGGAGAAAAAAAAAACTCCATCTGGTCATCTTGTAAGGATGTCGAGAGTGAATCAGCTGCTTAATCATGGCAGGAGCAGGAAGGAGCAGCGCAGCTCACTCCTCTGCTGCCAAAGAAAATGTTCTGTGTGACCGTGTGGATCTCTTAGACATCCACTGGAAAAACAAGTAAGGAATATTGACAGTAAAGATTAAAAACTGTACCGAAGGCTGCTCTCCACTGGACATGTGAGAGCAAGGTCTGCTCTCTGGATGAGGAGATCTGGGTCTGGGAACGTGGCAGCAGCACGAGGGCCTGACCTGCAGTACCACAGCTTCTGAAAGGACCATAAGAAGCTGGGCACTGATTTTCCCTTTGCTTTTTCACTGCTAGGACTGACGGAGCATATTGTAATTATTTTTCACTTTATCTAGTTAGAGTGTAAGCTTGAGACCATAATTTATGAAGCAGTGCTGGTTGTCCATAAATTGTCATGTCATGTCACTAGTGCATGTTTTCATGTTTTGGAGGCATCGGATTCTTCCGTGCGTTCAGAAATAGATACACATAGTATCAAAGTAAAGTGTATTTCAAGCTAAATAAAGTATGTTCAAGATTACTAAACTGTTTGCTTGGCTCTGAAGATGACTCAGAAGGCTCTGCGCTTTAATAAATGCAGCTGCATAAAAATGAAAATAAAACTTAGGAGATTTATCGTTGGATTTAAAAAACAATGTTTAACAGATTTGCTGGAGGAGGATGTTGTTTGTAGTGAATTGTTCCGGACCAGTTCCAGTTCAGTGTCCTCTAAATGAAATGGAAGGGGGATAAATGCACCGGTGATAACGCTGAGCTGTCTACAAATGTCATAAAGTCAGGATTTGCGAATAATAACTGCCTGAAAGCTAGAGGGTTTGTTGACAACTCACGCAGTAGTGGGGTGTAACCATGCCAGCATTGGCAACTTCAGCCTCTGGAAAAGTATGAATTAGATATTAAAAGTGCTGATAGTGCTTAGAAGTCATGAGACTTGGGCTTCATTATCTCTTGACATGACGAATGAGTTTTTCAGCTAATTACTTGCTTCCAGGTGACAAAGTCTGAAGAACAGAGCCATGCACGGAGCAGTTCTGGGTGAGACCAGGGAAGGCAGGCGGTGGCTGTTTTAGTGGAGGCATTTGGGGCAGCTGGAGAAGTATGCATATTTGCTCTTTCATGCCCCCGCTTCCTGAGGCTTGAAGTGCAGGTCGGGTAGCATCCAGGCCCTGCACCATCTCCATTGATTGCAAAGAGAAGTTCCTGGGCTTTGCATGCTCCGCGGTGAGCTTGGCGCTGTCCTCTGGAAGGAAGTGAGATTTGTGTCACCCGCAAACTCTGGGGTTTCGCTTCCCTTCTGAGCTGCAGCCCCCTCGCCCTGTGACTGCTTCCCAGAGCAGCTCAGAAGAGAAGCTGCTGTCCTCTGGGGCAGCAGTGGAGCTGTGGGAAGCAATGTAGGAGACAATAGCATCTTTTTCATTTGCTAGAAGTTGCTGCATTATGGTGACGCAGCAGTGTGCTGTTAGAGGGAGTGCCTTTGCAAGCACTGTGGGGGAGCAGACTGGTCTTCACCAGTGCCCAAGGCTCTGTCTTGCACTGGAGGGCTAGCAGTGTATCCTCCTGGATAACCCTTTGCCCACTCCCACTCCAGGACTTTAATTATAGGGATGCTCTTGTTTTCCTTTCACAGTTGTACTCTACTACTGTGAAGAACCGAATGGTGATTGTGTGTCAGCCTTGATGTAGAGCAGTCTCAGCTCTAGCCTCTGTCTGTTCTTGTGTGTTTAGTAGTAACTGAACTGTAATTTTGTGCATGTGTATGAAATACTACTTTTTGCAAAGATTTCAGCTCTGAGTTTCATTGTATGTGGCTTCCACAGAAGCCTGTTAATGTCTTTTCTGTCTTTTAATTTTCAGTGCTCTACTTTAATTGCAGGGTCAGTTTTCTGGTGGGTGAGTAGGGAAAGGGAGAGCTGGGCACCTGACATGGATGTGTTGTTTGAGTCAGACACTGTTCTTGAGCATGTGGTCCAACTCTGGAAGAGATGTTTAGGATTCTGTTTATAGCTTCCATATTGTTTTGGTTTTTTTCAGTCATCAAGGTAGAGTTAACAAGATGAATTTCTCCTAATCCTACTGGTTCAGCTGGACTGTGGCAGTCCTCAGCCTTCTGAGAAGGCTTTCATGAGTTGAATGAAGTCAGCAACTGTACACACTGGTCATTTGCTGGTGTGGAGAGGCTGGGGTGTCTGACTTCCCTTCATCATAACGAGGTGGATTATCCCTCTTCTGGGGCCAGCATCTTTGGGCAGAATGGGGAATGAGAGGCCGGTGGCTTTGCCATGATCCAGGGGCTGACTTTTTGGAGTACGGTCTTGAAGACTGCTGGAAAACCATGACAGATCTGCAGCTGTTTGGCATGCAGAATGGTTGTGTTTGTCACAGAGTCTGAAGGCATGGAGAACTTGAGAGGAGTGCTGTTTTGGGGCTGTGAAATTAAAAAAGGAAGATGTGGATTCCCCGTAATGCAACTGATGGAGACAAAGCAGTGTTCTTGCTGGGGATTAGCAAAGATGAGAAGCAACAGAACTACCCTGCAGTCTCTCTGCACAACCAGTGCCTTTATTTCTATATAGTCAGATAAGATGCTGGATATGTAAAAGAAGCAGGTCTGCGTAAGGAAGTGCCTTTTTGTTTTTTAATACGGCTGCTTCTTGGCATTGAACCATACTTCAGTGGTTGATGTGAGTGATGAGTTACTCTGCTGTTGAGCTATGGTGGCAGGGGTGTTGTGAGGCACAAATACAACTTTCCAGTTTGTCTTAATTTGCTGTCTGTCTGCTGAGCTCTTCATATTAATTTTCATTGAATGGCTGAAGTAATTGAGAGCAGGGGGAAGGGGAAAAGCAGTGTGGTTTTTCAGGAAGATCTGATACTCCATGGGAAGATCACAAGACCATGCTAAATTGCAAAGTGTGATGGCAGTGCCTCAGGCAGTTAAGGGAAGGCTCAAGTTAAGGGATGTTACCGTTATGCCCATTGCAGTCCAGAAGGTGAACGTGAATAGGCTGAAAACTCCCAAGAGCTCTCTTTGGGGCAGTCAGGAGCAGCCACATGATGGATGCCTCTCGCAGCGGAAATGAAACAGTCTCCAGACTGCTGCCAAGAGAGATTACAGATGTCATATCATCTCAGGGCATCTTGTTAACATTTGTGGTCAGTTATGCTTTTAAAGCCAATCTCAGCCTTCAAGGCACTGAGATTTTGGTCAGACAAGTGGTTGTTCTTTATAGAGATGACAGAACACTGCTTCTGCTTCACAAACAGTTGGTAGCAGTGTTTGTCTATTCATTTCTATCCTTGGGTTTTTAGTGGCGTTGTTGATTATCAACCCAGGCCATTCTATGATTCTGTGACTCTATGATCGTGCACAATGAGTTAATGGCAGAGAGCAGCGAATAAGAAAGTACTGCAGCAGCGTACCGGTGAAGTCAGCAGGTAGGTGTGCGTGTCCTGGGCTCAGCAGTGTGAGCAGCCGGTGGATTTGAGCTGCTCATCCTGGCAGCAGGGGCTTTGTTAAGGAAAAAGTCTGACCTTGATATGTGCTAGTGCCATCGTGATGAGACCTGACGTGCTGTGGGGCTTGTGAGCGCATCTCAGAGGCTGAGTGTGCCTAGAGGGGTTGCCATCCCACTTGGTATCGCTTGGTACATGCCAGTGCTGGAATTTTCTGTCTTGGACTTCCCATTAAACCATCTGAGAAGCTACTTAAAGGCATCAACTCAAACTGTTTCTCATGAGTGACTCCAGTGTGGCCAGTTCTCAAGGCATCAT